TCTTTGTTGCCTCTCTGATTAATGCCCTCCTTGCCTGATCCGTGAGTTTTGGTGGGCGGCCCTCTCTTGGCATGTTTGTTGTGGTGCCATATTCTTTCAATTTTTTAATAATGGATTTAATGGTGCTCCGTGGGATGTTCAAAGTTTCTGATATTTGTTTATAACCCAACCCTGATCTGTACTTCTCCACAACCTTGTCCCTGACCTGTTTGGAGAGCTCATTGGTCTTCATCGTGCCGCTTGCTTGGTGGTGCCCCTTGCTTAGTGGTGTTGCAGACTCTGGGGCCTTTGAGAACAGGTGTATATATACTGACATCATGTGACACTTAGATTTTACATTCACATTTAAGTCATTTAGCAGACGCTCTTATCCAGAGCGACTTACAGTTAGTGAATACATATATATTTTTTTTATACTGGCCCCCCGTGGGAATTGAACCCCGTGGGGCAAACGTCATGCTCTATCAACTGAGCTACATCCCTGCCGGCCATTCCCTCCCCTACCCTGGACGACGCTGGGCCAATTGTGCGCCGCCAATGATTCTCCAGGTCGCGGCCGGCTGCGACAGAGCCTGGATTCGAACCAGGATCTCTAGTGGCACAGTTAGCACTGCGATGCAGTGCCTTAGACCACTGCGCCACTCAGGAGATTGCACACAGGTGGACCTTATTTAACTAATTATGTGACTTCTGAAGGTAATTGGTTGCACCAGATCTTATTTAGGGGCTTCATAGCAAAGGGGGTGAATACATATGCACGCACCACTTTTCCGTTATTTATTTTTTAGAATTCTTTGAAACAAGTAATTTTTTTCATTTCACTTCACCAATTTGGACTATTTTGTGTATGTCCATTACATGAAATCCAAATAAAAATCCATTTAAATTACAGGTTGTAATGCAACAAAAAACACTTTTGCAAGGCACTGTAATTGTCAACCAGTTTCCCTATATCACTGACTTCTGACCAATACTCGCTCTCACTGAATTACATTACCCCTCATATACCAGTAGGAGTCACTGTTTAGGCAGGAATTGTTGGACTGTGGCTTCAGATTTTATTTCAATATAGGCATCTCTTTATTTAGGTTGATGGCATGACATTGAAACAATGATGTTGATTCAAACATACCATATCACTATCAACATTGAAACAAGGTCAAATAAATAGTTAATCAAATATGAAATTCATGATAATTTCAACCACCCAATTAAATATAGGATGAAAAACAGACGTTGATTAAACAGTAAGAATATGCAAAAATGTCAAAATCTAAAATATGATGAAAATGTGACGTGGATCTGATGTTGCATGTTCACATGAATTTACAACACCACATTACATTAATTTTGTTGCAAGTTCCAAGTAGATTCTATGTCAGATTTTTTACCATTCTACATGGAATATTCAACGCAATTTCAGTATAGATAGTTTTGATGATTACATTGAAATTAAATTGATGTAACAACCTGTTAGTCAGGTTAAGTCATTGTATTTAAGTTGAAGTTTTACCCTAATTTCAATGTTTGCAATGCTGGTTGAAATGATATGAAAACAGTACTGGTTGATTACTTTTTGCAAATCCAAATGTTTCAAACATAGATTCAACGTCACAAGACGTTGACAAATGATGTTGAAACAACGTTGATTCAACCAGATTGTGCCCAATGGGTTATGAGTAACCTTAAAGTAAGCCCGTTGGGCTACAAACATTTTAATTGACATTAGAACACATACAGTGAGGAAAAAAAGTATTTAGTCAGCCACCAATTGTGCAAGTTCTCCCACTTAAAAAGATGAGAGAGGCCTGTAATTTTCATCATAGGTACACGTCAACTATGACAGACAAATTGAGAAGAAAAAAATCCAGAAAATCACATTGTAGGATTTTTAATGAATTTATTTGCAAATTATGGTGGAAAATAAGTATTTGGTCACCTACAAACAAGCAAGATTTCTGGCTCTCACAGACCTGTAACTTCTTCTTTAAGAGGCTCCTCTGTCCTCCACTCGTTACCTGTATTAATGGCACCTGTTTGAACTTGTTATCAGTATAAAAGACACCTGTCCACAACCTCAAACAGTCACACTCCAAACTCCACTATGGCCAAGACCAAAGAGCTGTCAAAGGACACCAGAAACAAAATTGTAGACCTGCACCAGGCTGGGAAGACTGAATCTGCAATAGGTAAGCAGCTTGGTTTGAGGAAATCAACTGTGGGAGCAATTATTAGGAAATGGAAGACATACAAGACCACTGATAATCTCCCTCGATCTGGGGCTCCACGCAAGATCTCACCCCGTGGGGTCAAAATGATCACAAGAACGGTGAGCAAAAATCCCAGAACCACACGGGGGGACCTAGTGAATGACCTGCAGAGAGCTGGGACCAAAGTAACAAAGCCTACCATCAGTAACACACTACGCCGCCAGGGACTCAAATCCTGCAGTGCCAGACGTGTCCTCCTGCTTAAGCCAGTACATGTCCAGGCCCGTCTGAAGTTTGCTAGAGTGCATTTGGATGATCCAGAAGAGGATTGGGAGAATGTCATATGGTCAGATGAAACCAAAATAGAACTTTTTGGTAAAAACTCAACTCGTCGTGTTTGGAGGACAAAGAATGCTGAGTTGCATCCAAAGAACACCATACCTACTGTGAAGCATGGGGGTGGAAACATCATGCTTTGGGGCTGTTTTTCTGCAAAGGGACCAGGACGACTGATCCGTGTAAAGGAAAGAATGAATGGGGCCATGTATCGTGAGATTTTGAGTGAAAACCTCCTTCCATCAGCAAGGGCATTGAAGATGAAACGTGGCTGGGTCTTTCAGCATGACAATGATCCCAAACACACCGCCCGGGCAACGAAGGAGTGGCTTCGTAAGAAGCATTTCAAGGTCCTGGAGTGGCCTAGCCAGTCTCCAGATCTCAACCCCATAGAAAATCTTTGGAGGGAGTTGAAAGTCCGTGTTGCCCAGCGACAGCCCCAAAACATCACTGCTCTAGAGGAGATCTGCATCGAGGAATGGGCCAAAATACCAGCAACAGTGTGTGAAAACCTTGTGAAGACTTACAGAAAACGTTTGACCTGTGTCATTGCCAACAAAGGGTATATAACAAAGTATTGAGAAACTTTTGTTATTGACCAAATACTTATTTTCCACCATAATTTGCAAATAAATTCATTAAAAATCCTACAATGTGATTTTCTGGATTTTCTTTTCTCATTTTGTCTGTCATAGTTGACGTGTACCTATGATGAAAATTACAGGCCTCTCTCATCTTTTTAAGTGGGAGAACTTGCACAATTGGTGGCTGACTAAATACTTTTTTCCCCACTGTATGCCATGTATTAGTTAACTGTGGTCAAAGACTTGGTAGGTCATACAACCATTACCTGTCAAGCCAATATTTTCATGATTACTAAACACATTACAGGCCACAGTATGGTAATCAAATTTTGTCAAAATACCTAACGTTTTCATGGTATACAACAAATCTCCAAGACCATGAAATCCACCAGATACTGACAGGTGTGTTCTAGGGGCTGCTGACTGCTCTGTTGTTGGCACAGTTCATCATGTGTAAGAGTTCTATGCGGTTGGTTGAGGGCACTCTCCAGGGTCTGAGTCTTACCCTCTGTGCTGCTATCTGTTCTCATGTAGCCTACCTTTGGGGTTAAGGATGTGGAAAATGACTGCATGTGACTTGTGTGTATTCGTACATACAGTGCCTTCAGAAAGTATTCATACCACTTGACTTATTTCACATTTTGTTGTGTTACAGCCTGATGAATTCAAAATTGATTAAATAGATATTTTCTCTCAACCATCTGCACACAATACCCCATAATGGCAAAGTGCAAAAATGTTTTTAGAACATTATCCTAAAAAAACTCCCTAGTCCTTGCTGATGACTGGCATTACGCATAACATGATGCAGCCACCACCATTCTTGAAAATATGAAGAGTGGTACTCAGTGATGTGTTGAGTTGGATTTGTCCCGAACATAACGCTTTGTTTTCAGGACATAAAGTTAATTTGTTTGCCACATCTTTTGCAGTTTTACATTAGTGCCTTATTGCAAACAGGATGCATGTTTTGGAATTGTTTTATTCTGTACAGGTTTCCTTCTTTTCACTCTGTCATTTAGGTTAGTATTGTGGCGTAACTACAATGTTGTTGATCCATCCTCAGTTTTCTCCTATCACAGCCATTAAAAACTCAGTAACAGTTTTAAAGTAATCATTAGCCTCATGGTGAAATCCCTGAGAGGTTTCCTTCCTCTCCGGCAACTGAGTTAGGAAGGACGCCTGTATCTTTGTAGTGACTGGGTGTATTGATACACCATCCAAAGTGTAATTAATAACTTCACCATACTCAAAGCGATATGCAATGTCTGTTTTTTATTTAATTTATCTACCAATAGGTGCCCTTCTTTTCGAGGCATTGGAAAACCTCCCTGGTCTTTATGGTTGAATCTGAGTTTGAAATTCACTGCTCGACTGAGGGACCTTACAGATAATTGCATGTGTGGGGTACAGAGATGAGGTAGTCATTCAAAAATAATTTTAAACACTATTATTGCACACAGAGGGAGTCCATGCAACTTATTAAGTGACTTGTTAAGCAAATGTTTACTCCTGAACTTATTTAGGCTTGCTATAACAAAGGGGTTGAATACTTACTGACTCAAGGCATTTCAGCTTTTCATTTTCTTTCAAAAAACAACTCCACATTATGGGGTATTGTGTGTAGGCCAGTGACACAAAATCTCAATTTAATCCATTTAAAATTCAGGCTGTAACAACAAAATATGGAACAAGTCAAGGGGTGTGAATACTTTCTGAAGGCACTGTACTCTTAATGCAACAGTCATAATGTTATTATGAAAATGATTTTCTTATTAGGAAGGAAGTTTATTGTACATTTGTGCATACCCTTATGAGTTTGAAAGTGCTAAAAAAGTGCTATGCCTAGAGCCACGGTCACAGGCAGCTTTCAAGTTTGAACAGTGGGTTCAGTCGGCTCATCATTTCCATGGTTACCCTGCTCAACGGTATTGGCAGCAGCCAGAGTGTCCGCCTCAGCCTCAGCAGTTGAGTCTGCGTCAGAGAGGTCCCCGTCTGAGAGGATCCCGCAGCCCGTGTGGCACAGCTGGCGCTCCAGGTTGGTGATGCGCTGCTTCAGCCGCTGCTGTGTGGCCGTGTACTCGCTGAGCAGGCGGGCGAAACGTGTCTGCAGGGTGTCCAGAGAGGACTCCAGCCTCTCCACCTTCTCCTCAGTGTCCTCTCCACCCAGTCTGCCAGCCTCTGCATTCTCATCCAGGAGGCCCTCCTTAATAAGGATCTCTTTCCCCCTCTCCTCCAGCACCTTCTTAGCATCAGGGTACTCGGTCACTGCCTCCATCAGGTCATCCTTAGAGAGGCAGAAGAGGTCAGAATAGCCGATGCTGCGGATATTGGCCGTCCTGCGGTTTCCCATTTTGCTGCCTTGGATGTTGAGGATACTTATCTCCCCAAAGCAGCTGCCGGCAGTGAGGAGGGCGTACTGTGTGACCCCGTCATCTGCCACCACTGCCAGATTCCCCTCTTTGATGATGTACATCTCCTTCCCTATGTCCCCTTTGCGGCAGATGTAGTCCCCTGGGCTATAGACCTGTGGCCGGAGTTTCAGCACCAGCTCCACCAACAGTCCAGCCTCACAGTCCTGAAAGATACGTACTTTCTTCAGGGTCTCCAGGTGCACATTGATAGCGATCTCAGCCCGCAATTTGTTAGGCAAGTTCTTCAACACCTCCTGCTCATCCACTGCTTTCTTATTAGTCCAGAGGTAGTCAAACCACTTAATGACGCGTGCTTCCAGCTCCTTGCTGACCCGGCGGAAGTGCATGTAGTGTTTGATGGCATCAATACGGGCCTGAAACTCTGCACGTGTGGCATTCATGTTGGAAATCATGGAGCCAACATTACCCACAATCGTGGCAAAGATCAGCACCCCAACAAGGAAGTCAAAGACCACAAAAAGATACTCCTCATCCCGTACAGGGGCGGGCATCTCTCCAATAGTTGTGAGGGTGAGGGTGGACCAGTACAGGCAGTAGACATAGCCCCGGGTTAGGGAGCCATACTCAGGGTTGGAGATGTTGGGGTACACCCAGGTATCAGAGCCAAACCCCAGGGATTTGGAAATAGCAAAGTAGATGCAGGCGTTCCAGTGGATGATGACCAGGATGTAGAGCACCAAGTTGCAGATACGGAAGATGTTGGGGTAGTTTGTGCGTGTCTCAGTGCGGTCGAAGAACTCAAACATGCGCGGGAAGCGCAGCAGGCGGTTGAATCTGAGCTCTGGGGTGTGGATTCCTGTGGATATGTAGGCCAGATCAGTGGGTAGGATGGACACCACATCCAGCTTGAACTGAAACGTGCGGATGTAGCTGTCTCTCAGCTTGGAGAGGTCCTTCACCAGCAGACCCTGCTCCAGAAAACCTGTGGTATAAAAAAGGTGTTGCCATTAGCAGGAAAATATATACCCAGGTTATCAATCATGTCTCACATATCTTTGTTTGGTACAGTAAATAAGAAATACAGCTATACATAATATAGTCTCAAGCTAGGACCTGGTTTAAGGGTGTATATGATGGTGATGTACCTGTGCGGAGTCGGACACATGTGTCCAAGATGTACACAGTGTCTGAAAGATAGTCCAGCACCAACCAGCAGATGTAATTGCTTGTCTGCAGTTTGTCAAAGCATGCCCTACAGATAGAAGAGAAAAAGAGAATACTTAACTCTAGCATCAAACTTCCATCTATCAGTCCAACATTATATCCTTTAATTTTACTGATGAATAAACATCCCCTCTGATGTTGTGCTATGTGTGGACTGTGGACCAAATAGAAAAAGTATGTGTTCTCAACTACCTAGCCACAATGAGGATCCAGTTGTAGAGCACAGCTATAGCGATAACAAACAGCCAACGGTAGTACATGTCGTCTGATGGGGACACAACGACCACACCCCATATTTTCCTGAGAAAAAAAAGAGAATGGTTAATGTCAAATAAGGTTACACAGACTCTTTTGCTTCTGCAGGTAGACATGGGTGGGTCTGATCTTCAAGGGCCATGTGTCTGAAAGACTAACCACTGAACAGAGGCACATTTATCAGCTTTTATGATGAGGCAGACATACCTAAATCTCCCTTTGGTATTGTTGCCATTGGCATCAGGCTGCGTATTGCTGATGCGACTAGGGGCAGTCCTCAGCTCAGGGCCACGGAAGCGTTCCAAGAAAGAGTCTGGCCGCTCCTCCTCCTCTAGAAGGCTCCTGTGTGCCCACTCCCTCAGAGTCACCACCAAATTCACTAATCTGAGAGCGAGAGAGAGAGAAAGAAAGAGAATTAGAGAGAGAGAGAAAGAGAGAGGGAAGGAGGAAGGGAGGGAGAGAGAGCTATTCAGAGATACCTGTAAAGTGTGGCAGAGTTTGTATAAAATAACTGTATTAAGCAGAGTAAATTGGGACAGATTAGCATATGGGTGAGGCAATTTCGCCATCACACTATCTATCAGTTGTGAGCTTTGGAAACGACCATTGCTGAGGTGCCAGAATTTACCTAGACAGAGCTCCCCGTCCTTGAAAAGAGTTCCTTGAGATGTTTCCCCCATCGAGAGCGGCCACCCGTGCCAGCTCTGAGGATGTGTCATCATTATCATGATCACATTCTGATGGCACTCTAGGAGAAGGGAAGACAGAGGCAGACGTAGAGAAGATGCACTCTTGAGCAGGGCTAGGTATACATTTGGATGGACAAACAATGACAATTTGAGTCTCTGATTAACAGTGGAAAAAGAGAGGCAGGGTCACATACTGTACATGGTGGTACATTGTGTATAACAGGAAGAGTTGTATATAAGCATAAAGGATGCATGCAGCAAAGAAATATAATTCTAGAACTACAACCCTATGCATGCCTCTCTGTATAACCCACCTGCTGAGAGTACTCTCAGCTCTCTCCCTCTCTGGCTCCTCCTCCACAGTGGTCTTCACTGAGAGACGATGAGGGGACAGGTCCCTGTCGGCCACCTGGCCTGTCATCTTCAGCTGAAATGAGCTTTCAATTCATACAGAGAAACATTAAGAGTCTTTCCATTCCATTTGATTTGATACACCCCAAAACTGACAACAACTTGACCATAATTCTGAGCTTTTCATACAGTATGTAACTAACATCTGTATGGCACCATGGTATTTAGTCATATAATCATGAAATGTGACTGGTGTTTTGCCATGGTTAGGGCCGGATTAATGCAGGGGCTTACCGGGGCTGAAACCCCTGGGCCCAGGCCCGTGGGGGGCCCAAGAGGAAGCAAAATTGTTTTAATAAAATAAAAACATACACCGAGTGTACAAAACATTAAGGACACCTGCTCTTTCCATGACATAGACTGACCAGGTGAATCCAGGTGAAAGTTATGATGCCTTATTGATGTCACTTGCTAAATCCACTTCAATCCGTGTAGATGAAGGGGAGGAGACAGGTTAAATAATGATTTTTAAGCCTTGAGACAACTGAGACATGGATTGTGTATGTGTGCCATTCAGAGGGTGAATGGCCAAGACAAAAGATTGAAGTGCCTTTGAACGGGGTATGGTAGTAGGTGCGAGGCACACAGGTTTGTGTCAAAAACTGCAACGCTGCTGGGTTTTTCACACTCAACAGTTTCCCATGTGTATCAAGAATGGTCCACCACCCAAAGGATATCCAGACAACTTGACACAACTGTGGGAAGCATTTGGAGTCAACATGGGCCAGCATCCCTGTGGAACGCTTTCGACACCTTGTAGAGTCCATACCTCAACGAATTGAGGCTGTTCTGACGGCAAAAGGGGTGGGGGGTTCAACTTAATATTAGAAAGATGTCCTTAAAGTGGAATTGACAGCATTTTAGCAACATGAAATCTTATTAAAATCTGTTTGAATGTTTGGGAATTACGTATACTAAGGCATTTGTGAAAATTCTACAGCAATATACAGTGGAAAAGTGGCTGTGCGTTTTGACCATTAATAGACACTGCAGTAAATAAAAACGAATAAAAAAAATCTGTCTCATCCAGGACCAGAGTCTACACAGACCGGTGCGCCATAGCCAATCAGAGCTACAGTAGGCCTGCCATCATTCACTTTGAACTGGACTGTGTGTGTTTATAGGCAGTAGCACCAGCACGACTTTCGATCATTATAACGCATTTGGCAAAAGCCAAAAAATACACCTGAATGGATTTCTACAAATATGTCGAGTCCTCTTACATTTGGGAACTTTACAGTCCTATTGATCAAACAACCATAAAAAGGTAGGCTATATTTCCCTATATACACATCAAGAAGATCAACAACTAATGCTAGCCAGAGTAAGCAGAGCTAAAATCTAACGAAGGAACATTAGATAAACCCTCTCAAACCTTTTCAGCTAGTTGGCCGTAAGTAGCCTGCTTGACCTTCTGCAGCTTGCCTGCCAATGCATGCTTGTCCCAACCAAGCACCCAAGCTAACTGGCTAAAGTTGGCTAGCTAGCTACTGGTTAGGCTGTTTATATGTTATCTAGCGTGTTCGTGACAAACATACTTTTTTTTTGCCTACGTTTACTGACACCAGTCATATTCAGCGGTGTTGCATGTTCGTAAATTCATCAGTTATTCTGCGCTCTGGCACATTCAGACGAGGGTGCTCTGATATCGTAGTAGATAGCCACAGTGAATTTGCGAACGCAAAGATATGCTAATTGGATAACAGCGATTCACATTTCTTGCTAGTTAACCAAATGACACATGCATCTTTAGCTGTGTAGCCACCGAAAAACGATATATGAGGGAAAAGTCAGTCACTCACCCACTCTTCCATGACATGACATCCTCCTAGCAGCTACAGTGGGGGAAAAAAGTATTTAGTCAGCCACCAATTGTGCAAGTTCTCCCACTTAAAAAAATTAGAGAGGCCTGTAATTTTCATCATAGGTACACGTCAACTATGACAGACAAATTGAGAAAAAAAATCCAGAAAATCACATTGTAGGATTTTTTATGAATTTATTTGCAAATTATGGTGGAAAATAAGTATTTGGTCACCTACAAACAAGCAAGATTTCTGGCTCTCACAGACCTGTAACTTTTTCTTTAAGAGGCTCCTCTGTCCTCCACTCGTTACCTGTATTTATGGCACCTGTTTGAACTTGTTATCAGTATAAAAAGACACCTGTCCACAACCTCAAACAGTCACACTCCAAACTCCACTATGGCCAAGACCAAAGAGCTGTCAAAGGACACCAGAAACAAAATTGTAAACCTGCACCAGGCTGGGAAGACTGAATCTGCAATAGGTAAGCAGCTTGGTTTGAGGAAATCAACTGTGGGAGCAATTATTAGGAAATGGAAGACATACAAGACCACTGATAATCTCCCTCGATCTGGGGCTCCACGCAAGATCTCACCCCGTGGGGTCAAAATGATCACAAGAACGGTGAGCAAAAATCCCAGAACCACATGGGGGGACCTAGTGAATGACCTGCAGAGAGCTGGGACCAAAGTAACAAAGCCTACCATCAGTAACACACTACGCCGCCAGGGACTCAAATCCTGCAGTGCCAGACGTGTCCCCCTGCTTAAGCCAGTACATGTCCAGGCCCGTCTGAAGTTTGCTAGAGTGCATTTGGATGATCCAGAAGAGGATTGGGAGAATGTCATATGGTCAGATGAAACCATAATATAACTTTTTGGTAAAAACTCAACTCGTCGTGTTTGGAGGACAAAGAATGCTGAGTTACATCCAAAGAACACCATACCTACTGTGAAGCATGGGGGTGGAAACATCATGCTTTGGGGCTGTTTTTCTGCAAAGGGACCAGGACGACTGATCCGTGTAAAGGAAAGAATGAATGGGGCCATGTATCGTGAGATTTTGAGGGAAAACCTCCTTCCATCAGCAAGGGCATTGAAGATGAAACGTGGCTGGGTCTTTCAGCATGACAATGATCCCAAACACACCGCCCGGGCAACGAAGGAGTGGCTTCGTAAGAAGCATTTCAAGATCCTGGAGTGGCCTAGCCAGTCTCCAGATCTCAACCCCATAGAAAATCTTTGGAGGGAGTTGAAAGTCCGTGTTGCCCAGCGACAGCCCCAAAACATCACTGCTCTAGAGGAGATCTGCATGGAGGAATGGGCCAAAATACCAGCAACAGTGTGTGAAAACCTTGTGAAGACTTACAGAAAACGTTTGACCTGTGTCATTGCCAACAAAGGGTATATAACAAAGTATTGAGAAACTTTTGTTATTGACCAAATACTTATTTTCCACCATAATTTGCAAATAAATTCATTACAAATCCTACAATGTGATTTTCTGGATTTTTTTCCCTCATTTTGTCTGTCATAGTTGACGTGTACCTATGATAAAAATTACAGGCCTCTCTCATCTTTTTAAGTGGGAGAACTTGCACAATTGGTGGCTGACTAAATACTTTTTTTCCCCACTGTAGCTATCTAGCTAACGTTAGGCTCTGTGTTGTTAGCGTTCTACATAAATAGATACGCTAGCCTATTGGCCACATTATAACTTATAACACATATAGACTTGTGATCATTGCCTTTGCTAGTTTGATTGTATTGACATTCCTAGCCTCAGTTTCATTCGTCTGTTTTTATCCAAAATATTGAGTCATTTAAACTGAAACAGTGCATCCTGAATGGAGGCAGCAAATAATGTACCAGGCCAGCTGTGATTTACAATGAGATAGCAATATTTTTTGGACTACCAAGAAATGTATTGGTTTATTATATTAATCATGCATAGAACTGCCTTACTGTACGTCATGGAATGTTAAGTCAAATATAACCACAATTATTTTTTAAACCTCTTATCAAGTTGGTTTTGTAGCATGAACTGGGAATTTGATATTTTTTACTGATATTATGATTGTCTGTTTGTTTCATATTGGCAAAGTAGTTAAAACGCTGTAATTTCCACTTTAATATTTTGTACACTCAGTGTATATACAGTATACAGTCGTGGTCAAAAGTTTTGAGAATGACACAAGTATTGGTCTTCACAAAGTTCGCTGCTTCAGTGTTATGAGATATTTTTGTCAGATGGTACTCTGGTATACTGAAGTATAATTACAAGCATTCCATAAGTGTCAAAGGCTTTTATTGAAAATTACATTAAGTTTATGCAAAGAGTCAATATTTGCAGTTGTTGACCCTTCTTTTTCAAGACCTCTGCAATCCGCCCTGGCATGCTGTCAATTAACTTCTGGGCCACATCCTGACTGATGGCAGCCCATTCTTGCATAATCAATGCTTGGAGTTTGTCAGAATTTGTGGGTTTTTGTTTGTCCACCCGCCTCTTGAGGATTGACCACAAGTTCTCAATGGGATTCATGTCTGGGGAGTTTCCTGGCCATGGACCCAAAATGTTGATGTTTTGTTCCCCGAGCCACTTAGTTATCACTTTTGCCTTATGGCAAGGTGCTCCATCATGCTGGAAAAGGCATTAGTCGTCACCAAACTGTTCTTGGATGGTTGGGAGAAGTTGCTCTCGGAGGATGTGTTGGTACCATTCTTTATTCATGGCTGTGTTCTTAGGCAAAATTGTGAGTGAGCCCACTCCCTTGGCTGAGAAGCAACCCCACACATGAATGGTCTCAGGATGCTTTACTGTTGGCATGACACAGGACTGATGGTAGCTCTCACCTTGTCTTCTCCGGACAAGGTGTTTTCCAGATGCCCCAAACAATCGGAAAGGGGATTCATCAGAGAAAATGACTTTACCACAGTCATCAGCAGTCCAATCCCTGTACCTTTTGCAGAATATCAGTCTGTCCCTGATGTTTTTCCTGGAGAGAAGTGGCTTCTTTGCTGCCCTTCTTGACACCAGGCCATCCTCCAAAAGTCTTCGCCTCACTGTGCGTGCAGATGCACTCACATCTGCCTGCTGCCATTCCTGAGCAAGCTCTGCAATGGTGGTGCCCCGATCCCGAGGCTGAATCAACTTTAGGAGATGGTCCTGGCGCTTGCTGGACTTTCTTGGGCGCCCTGACGCCTTC